AACCTAAGTGAGTGGGTTTCATCTCACCCCACCACATGGCTGCAGTGCAGATGTCTCCATCTGATCCAGGTGCATGAAGGATCAGATGGAGATATGTAATCCCATGGATATGTAAACTCCACTGTGTGGAGATACAGTGGGGCATGGGACCAAGTGTAGACCTGCATGCTGGAATGCAAAGAGCAGCAGCATCCACACTTGTCAGATGAACTCAAATCCTGACTGTCACCTCTCCAGCTCTCCCCAATCTTCATTTATCAAGCATAGCAGCTCACTTAATCACTGCTACCAGTAGATTGCAGCTAATTAGTCAAGGAGAGCTTCCCAGGCCTATACAGGCATGAGGAGGAGCCTGTGTGTCTGCGCGCCCCACTGTTTGCACGTGAGTCCTGGCAAGCAACCCATCACAGCACACACATGCACTGTATGAATGTCTTGTTCCCTGAAATGGCTTTTCATAAATGTAATATCCCTGTCAAAGCAGTTGACTTGGTGCCCCACACCCATGATATCCAGTGGAGCCACAGGGGTGATCGTCACTCTTCTATGTTCACCGCTCCAGAGTGAATGTGAGGGTGCTCGGACCCAAAGACCACTGTTCCTGTCTCTCTCTGAGCCAAATATACAACCACAGTTTGTGTTTAAAGTAAAGGAAAGTCCAAACAAAAGCCCCCAAGAGTTTCCCTAGCAGATGGTGCTCCTTGGCTGGGGAAAGCAATGGCACAGGAGCAATGCAGAGGCAGGATACTGCTTTTGAGGTTGCATGGGGTCTGAGAGCACCCAAGTTTTCACCAGGTTCACGGCCAGGGGGATGCTCCATGGGAAACAACCACAGCGCCATCAAGGCCAGAGCTGTGGGCAAAGTCTAGATTGCCACTGGGCACGTCCCACTTGGTGCTGCTGCCGTGTTTGCTTTAGTTCAAGCATCTCCCTGAGCACAGATATCTCTGCTTTGCACATAATGGAGCACACAGGCACTGACTGACTTTCCCAAAGTCACCTGGAGAAGGTGATAAAGCAAATGAGCTGTAACTACTCAGGCTCCACCACCCCTTCCTTACTGCATCCCTGATAGGTGGTCACAGAGCCCATATCCTATGGGATTGCAAATTTTGAGATAAAATTTATCCCTAGTGTTTAATGTAAACTTTGATGCAGCAGGAGCAGGTTGCACAACCTCCTCAGGTAATAGTCTGCAATGTCCCAACAGAGGAGCCAGCACTGCACTATCCCACCCTCGCACTCCCTTTCTGCTCTGCCTTTGAAAGTGTATCCTGCACTTTGGTCTCCAACACCCAAACCACAACACGGGTGTCCTTGAGGTTGTTGTGAAACACCTTGTGGTGAGGAAAGAGCATTGAACCCAGCCGATGTGCTGGCAGCTCCTTGCCCTGCAAAATCACCACAAGTTGAGGTGGAAAAGTGTGTGTGTACGTTTGTAGGTGAGAAAAGGTGTTGTCCCATGTGGAACTATTTCATGTCAGCTGAGATACTGGTAACTTACTCAGTTACATGACATGAGGCTCAAACAAATGATTCTGGGTGCACATTTACCTGTGTAGCTACAGATTTCCCTAGCCCCTTTCCTGCCATAGATCTCTGAACCTCACCTACGTGTAGGTCTGCCTCTGAGAAAGGCAGAACTGAAACAGTTTGATTTCTGGCCAAAACCTTACAGTTTGTACATGGAATCTCCCTGTTTTCTCTGTGAAAGTTCATACTTCTGTGCATGAGAGGGCAGGAGAAGTGTATTTTCTTCAACAGTCCCCAATGACAAACTTATATACTTTTTCTCAGACAACATAACACTCTTCCCACTGGGATGTACTCTCTATGAGGTGGTAAACGGCATTGCACAACCCCAAGCATCCTTATCACCTGCTTGCTGGACCTGCCTGGCATTGCTCAGGTCACTTATAGGTCTGAAAGCTTGGTTCACTTATAGGTGTGTGTATGGTTTTTAGACAGCTCATGGGTAGAGACAAAACAGGGAAGTATGGGGAGATTTTTGTGCTGCTCAGGTTTACGTGGTGCTTTTGTACTAAACTGGGTGCATTTTTGTCCTAGAGGCAAGTTGGGGTCTTCCCATGTGCCCCTTTCTGAGTCTCTCTATAGAGTTAGGCTCTAGAGACAAAACAGGGGATGAGAGACCCTGCTGGAAGGAGGGTGATAGAACCCCAAGGAGAAGATGGGGTGAACATAAAGAACCTCTTTCTCACCCTGACAAGCTTTTGCGCTGGCTCACCCCGCTCT